AGCTACTTTCCTGCCAAAGTTCATGTTTTTATATATATTTACCCTTAGCTTTCTTGATCCGGTCCTGTTGTGAAATTCGTTCTTAACAGACGCGTCCAGTCCATAAACTACCTACCTATTAAATTTCATATTCCTGGATCAAATGTTTTTAGACATTTCGTAATTAATGTACATCACTTCTCTTTGATATATACAGGGTGGCCAAACACGTGACGTCATAAAAAAAATTAGATTCCCCACATCGAGAGGAACCCAAATCACCCCCATATATATGGTCCGATTTTGTTTAGTTTAGGAGTTATGATTTTTTTTCGGATTTTTCGAGAATTTTTGAGTTCTGTGTTTATTTTTACCATAACTTCGTTAATAATTGTGATAAATGCCTGCTTTTTTCACGATTATGCAGCTAAGACCTAAGGCTTAACTATCATATAATCATTCAAGTCATGTAACTAATACTACTTTTTAATTTTTTTCAAAATCTTCGAACATAACAAAAAAGTAAAAAAGTGCAACAACTTTGAACGTTTATAAAAAATTGAAAAAACATGTTCTTACTATTCGTAAGTATCTTAAAAACTTCCTTACGGTATCAGCTATTTACCGTAAAAATTTCATCAACCTAGCTTTACTACATGCTACCGTAATTGTGGCTCAAATAGAACCGAACCCAAAATTGGATAACCCTCTGCTCAATAGAAATTGTTAGTTTCGGAAAAAAAATTTGCAAAAACCACAAAAACACGTTTGATTTTTACTGAACAGCAGATTATTATTCATTTATGTTATTTACAAGAGGTTTTCAAAATGTCTGCCTCTAACAGAAATGCACAGTGTACACCTACGTATGAAATTTTGTTTTAAATCTCTAAATGCTTGTGTGTTGTTTTTCAACACATCTGTCGCTTCTTGAATTTTGTTCCTCAATGAATTTTCATTTGCACATTCTTGGGCGAATGTTATGTCTTTAAAATATCCCCAAACAAAAAAATCAATGGGGTTGAGGTCAGGGGAGCGTGGAGGCCATCGTATCGGTCCGTTTCGTCCGATCCATCTGTCTGGGAACCTTTCGTTTAAGTAGTTTCGCACGATCGTTGCGTTGTGGCATGGTGCACCATCATTCTGGAACACCATGTTCCGTCTGGCTTCCAGGCTTGAATCTTCCAGCAATAATGGTAGGCTATTTTCAAGGAAGCTTTTGTAGGCTACCGAATCCAACCTTGACGGCAGTTCAAATGGACCGATAAATTCCATATTGAATATTCCTGACCACATGTTCACACTAAAACGGTGTTGAAATGTCGACGGCCTTGACTGGTGGGGGTTTTCAACAGCCCAAGTATGTAAATTATGGATATTGAATATCCCTGTTCTTTCAAAACGTGACTCGTCAGTCCATAAAATTTTATCAAAAAAATCGGGATCCTCTCGTCTTCGCAGCATTGTCTCGCAGAAATCCACTCTTAACTGGTAATCTGAAGGCATCAACGCTTGAACTCTTTGAACATGATAGGCATGATAACCTTCTTCATGAAGAATATTTTGTATCGATGTTCGTGGTATTCTAAGGTTTTGTGCCATAGATCTCGTACTCGTTGAGGGATTCCGGCTAATTTCTTCAAGTACTACTTCTCTGCGATCCGGATCAGCTGTAGGATATCCTTCATTGCTTCCTCGTCCTGGAATGCGGCCTGCCATGAAAGTGTTATGTGTGTTAATAAAAACACGGTGGTCTGGGTAATGCTCAGGTTGTGGTCCGCCTCGGCGTATAAGTTGTTCCCGGTACAGCTGAGCTGCTAAAACGCCGTTGCCTTGAGCAACGCCATAATAATAATGCATTTCTGCATATTCACGCAACGTATAATTTTTTTGTTTGGGGATATTTTAAAGACATAACATTCGCCCAAGAATGTGCAAATGAAAATTCATTGAGGAACAAAATTCAAGAAGCGACACATGTGTTGAAAAACAACACACAAGCATTTAGAGATTTAAAACAAAATTTCATACGTAGGTGTACACTGTGCATTTCTGTTAGAGGCAGACATTTTGAAAACCTCTTGTAAATAACATAAATGAATAATAATCTGCTTTTCAGTAAAAATCAAACGTGTTTTTGTGGTTTTTGCAAATTTTTTTTCCGAAACTAACAATTTCTATTGAGCAGAGGGTTATCCAATTTTGGGTTCGGTTCTATTTGAGCCACAATTACGGTAGCATGTAGTAAAGCTAGGTTGATGAAATTTTTACGGTAAATAGCTGATACCGTAAGGAAGTTTTTAAGATACTTACGAATAGTAAGAACATGTTTTTTCAATTTTTTATAAACGTTCAAAGTTGTTGCACTTTTTTACTTTTTTGTTATGTTCGAAGATTTTGAAAAAAATTAAAAAGTAGTATTAGTTACATGACTTGAATGATTATATGATAGTTAAGCCTTAGGTCTTAGCTACATAATCGTGAAAAAAGCAGGCATTTATCACAATTATTAACGAAGTTATGGTAAAAATAAACACAGAACTCAAAAATTCTCGAAAAATCCGAAAAAAAATCATAACTCCTAAACTAAACAAAATCGGACCATATATATGGGGGTGATTTGGGTTCCTCTCGATGTGGGGAATCTAATTTTTTTTTATGACGTCACGTGTTTGGCCACCCTGCATATACGTATATATACACCCTTAGCCCCCGTACTCCGGCCCAGTTTTAAATTCTTCGCCGATATTTTTTGTGCGAACTTTAATGATCATAAGTTAAACAGCTTTCGAGATTTCATGACCATGACCACCCTTGATCCAGCCCTGTCGCAAAATTAGTTCTCAGCTGGCATGTCCAATCCAAGAAGTTACCTCTCTGCCAATTTTCTTGTGCTTAGGACCAATAGAGATAAATTTATATAAACTTGAAAAGTGATAAGGTTCCCCATAGGAATATTCAACCCCCTCCCTCACCATCTTGAGGATATAATTCCTGAAATTCTTTGATAATAATTATTTCAAAGATAAAATTGAAGATAAAATATACTCCTACGTTTAGGCTGGACTAATTTGAAATATTTGAAATTCTCCACAAAGCTTGAAAAGTGCGAATTCACAAAATTTCTTTGTAAGTGCCAATTTACACTGTATCAAAAAACCGAGCATATGAAACCCATATACCAGTTTTATAAAATAATAGTTTTACCATAGTAGCTTTTAACCCTTATATTCACAACAAAAGATAGCCTATGTCCGTATCCAAGATCTATACTCATACATTTATGATATTAGTAGGGATGTCTTATACCTTAGATGCATAATATGATGTCCGGTTTTTGAGAGATTTCAATGTATGTACCCGGCTTTAATTTCGCAGTACAAAACATTGTAAGTATTACAATAAAGATAGCTTATTACATTGTTGACTATACTGTTTATTCACCAGCATATACTCAAAACCCAACGTTACCCATTCTTTGGTTGTTTGGCTTGTTTATAATTGAATATAATTTGTTTGCTCAATAAGGGTTCAGGATTTAGAGTTCAAAGATTTTAGAGTGTTGCAAAATTAGACAATGATTTTCGATCTCTGGATAATTTTCGTCGCACTTTCGGAGTTATTAGCATAGCCAGAGAACTTAAATTTGTTTGTTTTGTTTGACATGTGCAGCATTAAGTTATGTGAAGGTGTTTTATTACTATTTCACCGCTAAATTTTGATTCCTGTCTTTCTCAAGCTTGCAAATTATTTTTGATAGTGGCATTGAGAAGTTCTGTCATTTTCTATAGTGTAATCATATGAGGAATAGATTCATAGACATGACTGAGAGAAGTATTCTTTATTTCGGTCTTATTTCATCTTTGTCTACCTTGGGGCCATGATACTAAAATAGCCCATTCCAGCAGAATTCCTGATTAATAAAAAAGTCATTTTATATAGTATTTCCAAAATTTCAGCTTTATGGCGATGTAGGTGGGAATGTGACGTTTGTCAAAGGAGCTACAAATATAAAACTCATCTTCTCAGACATCAGCAATTTGAATGTGGGAAGGAACCACAGTTTTTCTGTGAGATATGCAAGTATAGTACACTTAGGAAGGAATCTTTGCAGTACCATTTTTCAACTAAAAAACATATGATGGCTTTGACAGCAACATTTTCGTCTCCAGATATAAACGTCCAAAGATAAATTACCTTGTGATTTCTTAATAAATGTTATAATATAATTTTTGTTTCTTGATTGTGTTATATTGGACCACATATTATTTTACAGATTATGGCGAATGATTTATGAATAAATGGTACTCGATTGTACCTATTATTTATTACGTATGCAGCATATGGTATGATATCAGATGATTTCAGTAGCTTGCTCCACAACAAATTTCATAGGTATGGATCACTATAATGAGAGCTACGTATAATGTAAAGTTTGGATATGTGCTAATATCTGCTTCTTGGGATAATGTTGAATGATGTTGAAAGGGGCCAGAATAGGTCTACACAGATAACAAAATTTCGGCTTCGTTTATAGAAAAAATATGATAACCTGGATTTCCTGTAATAACCAGAGAACTATATTTGCTACTTAGTAGCGTGGGAAGGAAAATAAACAAACGAACTATCACCAGGCAGACATATAAACAAAATATGTTGTCATCAGAAATATTATTTGTGGCCAAAACTTCACGTCAGAAATTAGTAATTCAAACACGTGGTTTCATTTAGCGGCCAGACAAGCATGGATGATTACTATACTTTTATGTTTATGATTTTGTTTCTGGAGAGAATAAGAGATAATTCTTCTCATCGGAAATGTGCCACTGCAACTGGCAAAATTTACATTTTTCGTTTTCTTCAGTACGTTCAAGTTCATCTGGCCAAATCGTACGCCAGCAGTTCTTAAACCATTTGGCTCATTTAGTAATCTTCAGCAGTTCGTTCTTTTAATAACAGCGATTAATTGTGACTTGTAACTTCCAAAATTGTCTACGAGTATATGGGGATTCGTACCTACTATGAACCGCTTAAGGTACGTTCCCATCTCAACAGGCGTGGTAGAAAACATATTATGACAGAAGGGTCTTCAGTGGAATTAACTGAATTTGTAATATGTTGCACAATATGATGGCCTAATAAAAGGTCTCCATGGGACAATGTTTTCTAGGGGACAGTTTCAGAGATATTGAGGTGTTAGCAAGTACAAAACGAATCCTTAGCGAATAAAAAAAATCAACAAATACGGCTTTGTCCACCTGGTGTTGACGGATCCGTCAGAATTGTGTCACTTGTCCACATTGGGAATTTTGAAATATTCCTAGACAATCAGCTCCTATTTTACCGTAATGAATACTCATGCAAAAGACTGTAGAGCCTCTTTCACACTGAGGAGCGGTAGAGGATCTGGCCCTTCCTACCGCTACACCTAGGAACTCTGCTCCTCAGAGCTTTCCTCCATGATGCTGCTTTACGTTAAGAATATATGTTGGACCTGAGAGACTTTTGGCTCCTATCCTAACTCTGTCAAACTTCGTACATTTACAACTGGTCAATAAGACCACTTCTTTGTTCCTAGGGTGTCAAGATTGGGGAACAGTTCATCTGAGAAGGTTTTTTAACAGATCTACTAAGCTGGGACAAGGTCAAAAATCAGACAAAGCGTATTTAAGAACCTGACAGCAGTCTCGGTATTTAGGTTTCTGCAAACCCGGCCGCATCAGTATAAAAATATACTTTCGCCGCATTGTCCTTTTCGCTACTTCCTTACACGGTAAAAATTTGCGACTATTATTAAACAGAAACTGCGACACCCAAACTGCATGTTTTGCCGCCCGACAAAAATCGCTTGTTCTAGCATGACCCTTCAGTGGTCTGACAGGTCAAAAAAGTCATCTCTGCTAAAAAATATTGTGAGCAAAATGTATTACTGGATATTCCTCTCTTTGTTCCTCCACATCTCTGAGACTGTTAGACATTAGAAAACTATATGCCTAAGGAGGACCGTGTCCGCATGTAAATTGACTTCCTCTTAACTTTTTTATATGACCTTCCAGAAGAAAAAAATATTATATAGGTTAAAGGGTCTAATATGAAGTTTTTCGTGTAATATTTTTGGATGTATCAGAAAAGTGCTATCGAATAAAATAATTTTTTCAAATAATACACCTTACATATTTTCAGAGAAAATGATAGTCTTTTTTTTCTGATCCAAAATATGTATGGCTTATCATACTTATTTTCATTAGTGTGACCGAAAAGCTTTTATGACATTTATTCAGGTGTATCCGAGTTCGAACCAGTTCGCATCTAGCCGCCTATACAATCTGGTATGGGGCCGGAATATAAATGATTAAATGACAGACACACAAAGTTCAAGTTTTTGACTACAGTAATACAAACAAGTTTAAAAAATGGCATGTATTTGGAATCGGAAAAAGGGACTATCATTCTCACTGAAAATATACTGGGTGTTCCATTTGAAAAATACAACATTTTTCGTTAGCACTTTTCTAAGATTCCCGGTGTACAAAAAAATATCACATGAAAAACTCCACATTAGATACTATAACTTTTATATACAATGTTTTACTAGAAAGTCATGAAAGTTATATTACAAGTTCGGCCAATTCCACTGAAGGGTCTTGTTCCATATGCTTTGAGCAATCTCCTTTGTGCCTCGTCATGAACAGCAGGGTTATTACGTGCAAAACCTATATAACATAATGTCAAAGAAAGATGAAAAATGCCAACTTGTTGACTAACTAAGTGTGCAAATAGTTCAGTCCGTAAGTGAGCATGAAGGGAACGATAGCTAGTTCCAAGTTGCAACATGTTGCATTTTCAATCCAACGGCTCCATGGAGATACCAAGATTTCAAAATAAGGACCAGCGTGATATGTTCATTGTTTAACAATCGTTTATTGACAGTATTATTTAGAAAAATAATAAATGTTAATCGACTGTTTCATAACAAGTCACACTTTTAGCATACGTTTGCGATTCCTGCGGAAAGAGATACAGCCGGAAAGACTCGCTGAGGACACACAAAATTCTATACTGCGGCAAGAAATACTCGCAATCATGCACTTTGTGTAAGTACAAGACATATCACAAAACGTTTCTGATCCGTCATTATAAACACAGACATAAGTTGGAGGCTGATGAGATATCTTCGATTGTGGGAGAGAAGATATTGGAGGGTAGAGTCCAGCAAGTCTCCAAGGGATACTTTTTGCCACTTTAGTAATGTTCTAGAATATGTCGGCAGTTTCTCAAATTTGATTAGATTTTATCAGAATGGATAGTTTTGTTCAAAAGTGAATTAAATCTTAATTTATTTTTTTTCTGTTGTATACGAATTTGGCAGACTGCTGACGTTTCTGGAGCATCATGTATTAATAATATACCGCTCGATGTTAAAACCTCATACCAAGTATGATGATGTAAATATTTGGCATTAAATAAATACATTACAGAAAAGCATGCCTCTTTCTTTATTACATACGAATCATGTTGAGGAAGAATAGTAGTTAGGAACATGTGACTGGTATATAAATCAAAGATAATTTTGATTATCGCCGACAATATTTGTGGATGTAACGTGATACAGATTGTATTATTACTCCAACTTTCAGAGTGTTTTTCGCAAGGTTTTAATATATTTATAATATCTACTCCTGGTAGAACCGTAAGTGACAACATTTTGGAAATGTCAGTCGAATTGCTTCCATCATTTATAGCTTTTCATAACTCTCTCACGGCAAGCTTCTGAGTAATCTGTCGCTGCAGTTCTATGAGGCACATCCTGTATAACTTTGTAAAGCTATGAGAAAAAAGTGGCTTGTGAGATTCATTTTGTGGTGTAGTTACTTATTTTTATGCTAGAAGTTAATAGTATAATATATCATATATGGGTATATTTACAAGGCTTATTGATTTTTTTTATGGTAAGAACGACTTATTTATTATTTAAATGCTGCGCGATATTTGGTTGATTAATACATACAGCGGATGTTGTGATCGTTTTTTATCATGATCATGGCTTTTATTTTAGGAAAGTAACAATTTTACTTGTAGCAGTTTGTGCTTGTTGAGAAGATTTATCATAAATTGTTTAAAATAACTATCAATATTGACCAAAGCTTTTATGACATTTATTCATGTGTATCCGAGTTCGAACCAGTTCGCATCTAGCCGCCTATACAATCTGGTATGGGGCCGGAATATAAATGATTAAATGACAGACACACAAAGTTCAAGTTTTTGACTACAGTAATACAAACAAGTTTAAAAAACGCATGTATTTGGAATCGAAAAAAGGGACTATCATTCTCACTGAAAATATACTGGGTGTTCCATTTGAAAAATACAACATTTTTCGTTAGCACTTTTCTAAGATTCCCGGTATACAAAAAATATCACATGAAAAACACCACATTAGATACTATAACTTTTATATACTTTTTTGCACTAGAAAGTCATGAAAGTTCGGCCAATTCCACTGAAGGGTCTTGTTCCATATGTTTTGAGCAATCTCCTTTGTGCCTCGTCATGATCAGCAGGTTTATTACGTGCAAAACCTATATAATGTCAAAGAAAGATGAAAAAATGTCAACTTGTTGACTAACTAAGTGTGCAAATAGTTCAGTCCGTAAGTGAGCATGAAGTAAACGATAGCTAGTTCCAAGTTGCAACATGTTACATTTTCAATCCAACGGCTCCATGGAGATACCAAGATTTCAAAATAAGGACCAGCGTGATATGTTCATTGTTTAACAATCGTTTATTGACAGTATTATTTAGAAAAATAATAAATGTTAATCGACTGTTTCATAACAAATCACACTTTTAGCATACGTTTGCGATTCCTGCGGAAAGAGATACGGCCGGAAAGACTCGCTGAGGACACACAAAATTCTATACTGCGGCAAGAAAAACTCGCAATCATGCACTTTGTGTAAATACAAGACATATCACAACACGTTTCTGATCCGTCATTATAAACAGAGACATAAGTTGGAGGCTGATGAGATATCTTCGATTGTGGGAGAGAAGATATTGGGGTAGAGTCCAGCAAGTCTCCAAGGGATACGTTTTGCCACTTTAGTAATGTTCTAGAATATGTCGGCAGTTTCTCAAATTTGATTAGATTTTATCAGAATGGATAGTTTTGTTCAAAAGTGAATTAAATTTTAATTTATTTTTTTTCTGTTGTATACGAATTTGGCAGACTGCTGACGTTTCTGGAGCATCATGTATTAATAATATACCGCTCGATGTTAAAACCTCATACCGAGTATGATGATGTAAATATTTGGCATTAAATAAATACATTACAGAAAAGCATGCCTCTTTCTTTATTACATACGAATCATGTTAAGGAAGAATAGTAGTTAGGAACATGTGACTGGTATATAAATCGAAGATAATTTTGATTATCGCCTACAATATTTGTGGATGGATACAGATTGTATTATTACTCCAACTTTCAGAGTGCTTACGCATGGGTTTTAATATATTTATAAGATCTACTCCTGGTAGAACCGTAAGTGACAACATTTTGGAAATGTCAGTCGAATTTCTTCCATCATTTATAGCTTCTCATAACTCTCTCACGGCAAGCTTCTGAGTAATCTGTCGCTGTAGTTCTATGAGGCACATCCTGTATAACTTTGTAAAGCTATGAGGAAAAAGTGGTTTGTGAGATTTATTTTATCGTGTAGTTACTTATTTTTATGCTAGAACTTAATAGTATAATATAACATTTATGGGTATATTTACAAGGCTTATTGATTTTTTTTGATGGTAAGAAAGACTTATTTATTATTTAAATGCTGCGCGATATTTGGTTGATTAATACATACAGCGGATGTTGTGATCGTTTTTTATCATGATCATGGTTTTTATTTTAGGAAAGTAACAATTTTACTTATAGCAGTTTGTGCTTGTTGAGAATATTTATCATAAATTGTTTAAAATAACTGTCAATATTGACCAGAGTGTGACCGAAAAGCTTTTATGACATTTATTCATGTGTATCCGAGTTCGAACCAGTTCGCATCTAGCCGCCTATACAATCTGATATTAGGCCGGAATATAAATGATTAAATGACAGACACACAAAGTTCAAGTTTTTGACTACAGTAATACAAACAAGTTTAAAAAACGCATGTATTTGGAATCGGAAAAAGGGACTATCATTCTCACTGAAAATATACTGGGTGTTCCATTTGAAAAATACAACATTTTTCGTTAGCACTTTTCTAAGATTTCCGGTCTGGAAAAAATATCACATGAGAAACTCCACATTAGATACTATAACTTTTATATACAATTTTTTACTAGAAAGTCATGAAAGTTCGGCCAATTCCACTGAAGGGTCTTGTTCCATATGTTTTGAGCAATCTCCTTTGTGTCTCGTCAAGAACAGCAGGGTTATTACGTGCAAAACCTATATAATGTCAAAGAAAGAAAAAATGTCAACTTGTTGACTAACTAAGTGTGCAAATAGTTCAGTCCGTAAGTGAGCATGAAGTGAACGATAGCTAGTTCCAAGTTGCAACATGTTGCATTTTCAATCCAACGGCTCCACGGAGATACCAAGATTTCAAAATAAGGACCAGCGTAATATGTTCATTGTTTAACAATCGTTTATTGGCAGTATTATTTCAAAAAAATAATAAATGTTAATCGACTGTTTCATAACAAATCACACTTTTAGCATACGTTTGCGATTCCTGCGGAAAGAGATACGGCCGGAAAGACTCGCTGAGGACACACAAAATTCTATACTGCGGCAAGAAAAACTCGCAATCATGCACTTTGTGTAAATACAAGACATATCACAACACGTTTCTGATCCGTCATTATAAACAGAGACATAAGTTGGAGGCTGATGAGATATCTTCGATTGTGGGAGAGAAGATATTGGGGTAGAGTCCAGCAAGTCTCCAAGGGATACGTTTTGCCACTTTAGTAATGTTCTAGAATATGTCGGCAGTTTCTCAAATTTGATTAGATTTTATCAGAATGGATAGTTTTGTTCAAAAGTGAATTAAATTTTAATTTATTTTTTTTCTGCTGACGTTTCTGGAGCATCATGTATTAATAATATACCGCTCGATGTTAAAACCTCATACCAAGTATGATGATGTAAATATTTGGCATTAAATAAATACATTACAGAAAAGCGTGTGTCTTTCTTTATTACATACGAATCATGTTAAGGAAGAATAGGAGTTAGGAACAGGTGACTGGTATATAAATCAAAGATAATGTTGATTATCGCCGACAATATTTGTGGATGTAACGTGATACAGATTGTATTATTACTCCAACTTTGGGAGTGTTTACGCAAGGTTTTAATATGTTTACAATATCTACTCCTGGTAGAACCGTATGTGACAACATTTTGAAAATGTCAGTCGAATTGCTTCCATCATTTATAGCTTCTCATAACTCTCTGACGGCAAGCTTCTGAGTAATCTGTCGCTGCAGTTCTATCGTGTAGTTACTTATTTTTATGCTAGAAGTTAATAGCATAATAAATATATATTTTATGGGTATATTTACAAGGCTTATTGATTTTTTTTTTGATGGTAAAAAAGACTTATTTTTTATTTAAATGCTGCGCGATATTTGGTTGATTAATACATACAGCGGATGTTGTGATCGTTTTTTATCATAATCATGGCTTTAATTTTAGGAAAGTAACAATTTTACTTGTAGCAGTTTGTGCTTGTTGAGAAGATTTATCATAAATTGTTTAAAATAACTATCAATATTGACCAGAGGGATTTAAAATTAGGCGATACCCGATTCACAACAGTCACAACTAGTGATGTAACGAATTTCATTTCTTGAACATTCGCGAATGTGAATGCGAATGCAAATATCTGCTACCGACATTCGCGAATGCGAATGCAAATATTCAATTTATTGTTCTGGCGCCAATTTTTTATGGCAGTCTCGTTCGACCAAATGCGTTCCGTTTGTATTTGAAACTGAAGCCAAAGCCAAATGGATAAACGAGTATATCTGAAAGAATCAATGAATTGACTAATAGATGCGAGCGGCAGTAAGAGGAAATTTTAAGCTTTATTAAAATAAAATAAATAATTTCATTTTTGTATGTTTAAAGTGTTTACTTATGACTCTTATAAAAATGATTATATTTATAGTTTATTGTGGAAGAATACTGTATTTCTTTAATTATTGTTTTTAATTTTGTTCAAGAAGCTGATTATGTAACTTAAGTGAACACTGAAAAAACTTTAATTGAAGAATTTGTTTTTGTTTGTTTATATTGCATTATATCAGTTTGTCTTATAAGACCTATTAAAATTTATTTGTTAGGCTTGCATTGTCCAAAGTAAAGTAAACAAGTAAATAATACCAAATGATTAAGTGAAAACTTAGGAGGTGAAGTTACTTTATCTTGTATTAAAAAACATAAGAAATGAATGGATTTTGTTTTTATTAACCTACTATTATCTAATAATCGTATTTTTTTCTGATACTTATATTCGCGAAACGTTCGCAAAAATTTTTTCGAATGCGAATGCGAATATACAAAATACGCGAAAATCCGCGAATGCGACTATTTGTTACATCACTAGTCACAACCATAGGAGTCATAGAGTGTGACATTTTTCCATAGTTGTGTTAATGTTGTCAGGAATGGCTTTTGCTTGACCCTTCACTTTTCTATTCTCTTGAAACGTCACAAATCACTTAATCTGAACTTCCAATTCAACACGCCTGATAACAAGTGAACGTCAACTTTCTGAAGAATTCAAGCACTTTAAAAACCGACAACTATCTGAAAAAAAATGCCTTACCTAACAACACATGATCCAGAACTCAAAAATACTAACGTTGATACTAATCAGTGTATTAAAATACTAACCTAAATTAGTAGTTATAGTTGAAAATATATGATTTCAGTTATGGTTATGTACTTTCCATTTTTTTAGAAGAAAAGAGGAAAAAAAAGAGAGAAGCTGAGAAAAGGAGACGAGATCGTATAAAAGCTGATCGCGAAAAGTATGAGGCTGAAAAGTTGAAAGAGAAACAACGTCGTGAAAAGCGAAAAGCTGAAAAAAAGATACGAAAAATTAAAGACTTAACGCCGCAACAGCAACGTGCTCAGCGACAGGCATGGCAAGAAAGGGCAAGAAAAAGTAGACGATTGAAAAAGGAAAGGCAATTCCAGATAAAAAATGAACCCATAGACAATGCAGATGATGGAATATACAATATTGCAGAATATCATTACGCAAATGATTAATGTCTGACGACTGTTGTGAGAATATTTGTGTACCTAAACATTTATTTTGATTGGTTTAACTCTACTTATTTAATATAAACAAATTTTATTCCATACATAATGACTATCATTGAGCTTACATCAAAATTAAATGGTGTTTAAAACCTGTCTACTTATAACTATTATCACAGCCGTGATTCAAACGTCTAGTGTCCCGAAAATGAAGGATAATCCTGCAGCCGTCATGGCCTATTATATGGTAAAATTTTATTTTAGCAAGGTCGAGATTTTCAGCATTATTTTTTTTAAAACCGGTTTATATTCAGTTAATCCCGTACCATTGCTACAAATAAATTTCGACCGGGTTTGTTTTAAAATACTCAGAATTTTATTTTGTTCAGCATGATTTGGTGAAAAACCCAAATAAAAGGCATGCCAAGGTCTAAATCTTTATTAAAACCCTTCTTACTGAATTTGACATTTTGTAGAGTAAGATGATCAAATACGTTCGCATTGCCAATTTTCAAAGAAGTTGGTCAACTGTTGACAATTTTTAAATGGTATCATTGTTTTCTTTTTCGTTTTATTGCGTGGATGCAAAAAATGGACAGGATGGATGTTGAAGGATAATTTACATTTAAGATATTAAAGTAATGAGCACCATCGACAGTTATGGATGAGCTACATTCCGTGATAAAAAGTTTTTTGATCTACAAAAAATAACCGCTCGAATACTCGAAGATGGTTCAATTTTGTAACTCAATTGAAGACTTTGCTGCAAAAAGGTGTTAACTCAGTTTTTTCGTTTTTTGAGATTTTTAGTGCAAAAAGGTGTTAAAAGCGTGCTTTTTGTGGTAGTTCATCTATCTGGCCATAGATGTCTCTCAGTTCTTGGATACAGAGATTCATAAAAGTGTTAACTATATCAAAAGCTTCAATCTGTAAACTTAAAAACGAGTTAACTTTTGTGTTATAGGTAAATTCCAATTTGTTGTCGTTTGAACACGTTTCGTGAGAGGTTTGGTTTTTCTATTTCCTGCAATCCAGACTCAGGCAAACAAGGAAGCTCCTGGACATGATGTGCTGCAGCTAGGCATAACGGAAATGGTACCAAATAATGAAAGTCCACTTGATGATGAGAATAAACAAAAAAAGTCCAGAAAACGAAAATCTCTTCCAAAAACATGGAAACGTTATGAAAATAAAGAGAACAAAAATAAAGGAAAGGCCTATAAAACTTATAAAGGTATTGATATTGAGGCAAAAAATCCTTGTATTGGAAAACGTTTATGTAAAGAAAAATGTCGTTTAAAGTGTGACAGCAGGTTTTTAAACGAAGAAAAGGTGCGTCTATTTGAAGAGTATTATTCATCAGATCAAAATGCAAAAAATGCTTATCTGTTTGGAATAATGAAAGCATACGATGTTAAGCAGCCCTCTGGACTTCATAGGCATCGCCAGAAGTCATTCAGGTATTCTTTCAAAGTAGGAGGAGATAGCGTGTGTGTAAGGAAGCAGTTATGTCTATATTAGATGTTGGACGCAAAAAGCTAGATTTAATTAGCGATCAAGTATCTAGTGGTAGATCTGCCCCTAAGCGAGATGGAAGAGGCCACCATAATAGCAGACCCGGAAAAGCGCAATTTCGTTCATAGGCACATCTGATCATTTCCTTCTGAAGTATCTCATTATTTTCGAAACAAAAGTCCGAACCGACTCTACCTTTCCCCATGGCTATCCATCAACAAAATGTATGCTTCGTATGTAGAAGAGTGTGCAAACGAAAATATCGTCCCAGTATCTACCTTTACATATAGACAAATTTTTGTCAATGATTTTAATTTTGGATTTGGTTCTCCAAAGACTGATACATGTGCAGTTTGCGATGTAGGATCAAATGAGGAACATGTTGCAAAGTATAAAAAAGCCTTTGACGTACAAAAATCTAAACGAGAAAATGAAAAAGCAAACGAAAAAATCATATACCTCACATTTGATTTACAAAAAACGCTTCCCCTGCCAAAAATTTCTACAAGCAAAGCCTTCTATGTACATACGACAAGTATGGCTCTACAATCTAGGAATATATTTAATATCAACACAACAACAAAATGGTAAAGGCTTTTTCCACGTTTGGACCGAAGACCAAGGGAGTCGCGGTCCTGAAGAGATTGGCAGCTCACTTAAGGCCTTTTTGGAGAATATCAAGGACCAAGCCATCTAATTGCATGGAGTGATTCGGCAGGTGGCCAAAATAAAGAAATTTATATTGTCTGTCTATGGCACTATCTAATAAATTCAAGAGTGTTCAGAAAAATTGACCATAAGTTTCCTGAAGTGGGACATACTTTCATGGACTCTGATAGAGACTTTGCAGCTGTTGAAACGTCTATCAGAAAGCACCAATCAATTTATACAATAGACCAATATATTTCTATCATGGCAGAAGCCAGGAAAAAAACACCTTTCAATATTACAAGAATGGCGGACAAATTTGTTGATATAAAAGAGCTTCCAAGAAAACTTGGACTCGTCGATAGAAAAAAAACTAACGAGAAATTTTCATTCAGAGTTGTGAGATGGATCCAGATTGAGGAATTTGGTATAACAAAGTACAGATACTCTTTTGATGAAACAGAAAATTGGACTATTGTTGATATAAGAAAACAGCGGAATCTCGATAAGAGAGGACAAAATGAACCTTTATTAGTGAACGTCGATAGAAGCCGACCTATTGGGGCCAACAAGTTTGACAATATTCAGGAACAGATTCCTTTCATACCAGAAAATTTTAAAGGATTTTATGAAAACTTAAGAAGAGGAGACGATTAGTTAGTCTGTGGATCATTTGTTATTACCTTTGTGAGTTCATAATAATAAAAAAAGACTAAGTTTACTTTTTATAAATAACATCATTGAATTGACACATTTTTACTGTTTTCATTGTCCTGTCCAAGCAAATAACCGCTTTTCAAAAAAGTGTCAAGTCAGATTTTCACCAATCTTTTTAACATTTCTGATGATAAAAACATATTTTTTAACAAAACTGCCTATTCAAGATACTTTTATATCTGTCTTAAATAACCTTGAATAATAAAAGTAACCATAGCACCCACATATAAAAAATGTCAGGGTTTAAACTTTGAGGCCAATTATCTCCGAACTATAAAATCTGAGTTAACATCTTTTTGCACCAAAGGCTTCAATTCTGTTACTGTTAGCTCAGCTTGATCCATTTTGATGAATGTTGCATGTTTATAATTGAAGTGGTCTCGATCTGACCGAGTAAGATTTGACGAGTGGTAAGTTTCTACGCTATTGAGTGATGCTAAGACACGCATATTATTCGATTAATGTTATATCATATCAAGCTATTTTCAGAATAAGCTTTTCTTTAGGATTTTACGTCAGATGTCCAAACCTTAATATCTCCAAAACGAGTGATGTGACAAAATTTCGTTAGGAGGCAGAAGTAATGTAAAATTGAATGTTTTTTTATAAAATGCACTTTTTTCTCCAAAAAGGCCAGTGGCTTAGAAAATATTTCCTATCAGGGGTCCAGACGCCCCAGACTTACATCCCATTTTGGTCAGAAGGTTATGTGTGTTATTGCTTATGATGTGTTCACTGAATTTCTGAAATCTTAACTTAGTATTTTCATCCGCTTCGTGGATACAATTTTCTTTTCAATTTCGTAAATAAAATTTCATCACCCTGATTAGAAATAAAATTGTATATTGCTTTGTTTCACCTTTTGTTTTTATTGTAACCACAGTGGTGCATGACATTTTTCTATATAATTTTATGAGTCTTAGCGTCCTTGATTATACAAGTAGATTTGAAATAGAAAGTTTTAAGATCATATGAGTATAAGACAATGCTAAGTTAAATATTCGAAAAATGTGAATTTTGGACACAAATGCTAAAATTACGAACATTGGGTTTTCAAAAAACAATTAAGTACTTGAATAAAAACAAAAATGTCTATAAAGGATCAAAAAGACAATCAAAAATGTCATAGATGCTATTAACCTGAAATTTATTTTGAATGCCTGTGGATTCTGATCCTTTGTGTGTATAAAATGTATTACTGAATTCAGTTATCAATTTTTAAACAATAAATATAATGTCTGTCACAGAAATTCATTTTTTTAATACATTTGTTTTTGTATGTGGACAAAATTTTCTATTTCACGGACTATTCCTAACGGGTTGGTGAATTTTATGAGGTGCTGCTGGATGCATCTTAGTATTGTTAATGACACCAGGTGTATTAAGAGTTTTATAAAATCAAAATGGTGGATGTTAGTGAAGAAATTTGACCTTAGAATTTCTATTCCATGGGCTGCAGTCCATATGGCTCTGACGTATGAGTTGCTGTTGGATTCGTCTTTTAGTTCAAGTGTTACTTTGTGTGTTAAAGGTTTCATAATATCAAAATTACGGATTTTAATCAAGAAGTTTGACCTTGAAATTTGCTATTTCATGGGCTACAACTTCAACAGCTAGATTGATTCTGACATACGAGGTGTCGGTAGATTTGTTTTTAGAGTGTGAGTGACACTAGGTGTATTTAAGTTTCATACATTCGAAATGGCGGATTTTAAATGCAAACTTCAACTTTGCAATTTTTATTTCACGGGCTAGAGGCCAAACAGTTTGATGGGTTTTGACATTTGAGGTGTCATTTAGATTCGGCCTGTTAATTAAGTCTTGATTATTTTCAATTATTGCTGTCTATTTCTACTTTTTACTTCTATGGCTATTACAGGGCTCCTACTTAACAACCATGGAAATGTACGTAAATGAACGTGCAAATAGAGCGTATGGTTAGGGATCTTCTCCGAGAATAAGTTAATCAATGATAGAATCTAACTCTTGTGGGCTGGTATTAAAATTTGTCTTATTGTACAAATTGGTGAAGAAATTATTGCTTATTCTTTCATTACTATGACTAAGCTTACCTTGCTACATCATTATTTTAGGAATGTTCCAGTGCGGTGCCTGCTTTCGAGCATACAGTAGGAAAAAGGGGTTAAACCAGCATCAGCGATACGAGTGTGGCAAGGATCCTCAGTATTGCTGCCCACAACAGGGTTGTGAATATAGATCTAAAAGAAAATGGACTATAACTCAGCATTTGAGAAATACGCATGGAGTTGTTTCTAATATTGATTGACTCAGTTTGTGAGACTTGAATGAATATTATTTGTTTTGAATAAAATTCAATAAACTGCAAGAAATGAGTTCATGTTGATTTCTCTACAAACCAGTACTACAACTGCACCCATAAAATATATACAATGGATCACTTCAAGCTGCAGTAACATTAGACTACAGCGTGTCTATCAAGAGTAACTATATTATCACGACTTTTGAAATGTATCAAAACTTGTAATGTAATAGTCGTACTGCTTAAAGATTGGAATATACATTATTTATCACAAAAAACATTAGGTCATTGTTGATTGTTAGGTAAGCAAGTTGAATAAGCGCTATGTACACGAGGAAGTAGAATTGATTATACTTCTAAAATAATTTTATATAAACTATGAGTACATCGCACCTCCGCAGAATAAAAAAAAAATTGGATTCTACCAATTTCTTGATGATCTTGCCTTGCTGATTTGCTGTTACCCATGACTTCTGAATTTTTTCCGTAACTGCGTTCTTTAAGGCAGGGTCACCACATAGTATGCCTACATTTCATGTAAGATTAGTCATAGCTACAAAATTCGTTAGTGCATAATCAGTAACTTCAAAGTAAAATATGTCTAAAATTACGATGTTTGCTAGTAATTTTGAGTAACACTCCAAAACAAATTCATAAAGTGAACGTATTTATCAGAAACGTATAATTTACATTGTTTTACTAAGAGATGTTGGGTCCTGATATCTCTAATATGTAAGGGTAGAATGCTATTTAAATATTTTGGGTCAAGATATGTTGAACGATGGCGTCTATACGTCGGGTTACGATGATGATTGACATATAAACATTCATTTTTTACTTTATGGGCATATATACAAGCATCAATTAGCTCTGATTAGAATGTTATCTTGCTTAATGTCACTAAGGATTTTGATAAATGATGGTCAACTATATGCACATTAAGATGTTGCTTTATATAGATTAATATACCATCTTTTGTATTAAATGTGTAAAATCTGTCTTCAATGTTCATTTCCGATTTTAGAAATCGTGAAATATGCTCCCTTGGGGTAGGTTAATGTTCTCTTTAATACGTTAATCGTCATTGATATTATATCACACTTATTTGTGTGAGGTAGATACCGTTACTAGATGCATAGATATATTGTCCAATTTTAGAATTGCTTTAGGTTAATAGAACTGGGCAAAACTCCTTTAGGCAAACTTTTGCAAAATCCTAGGAGCAGGAAGAGTTGTGTCGGCCAGTCCTTGATGTTCACAGTTAGGCATGGTTAGATTGAGATACAGAAGAGCTAGCCACCGGCACCTTGTCGTTGTAAAACGAGATTGAGATCTTCAGTGAAGGAAGTGACATGATAGTCATGACAGCCTTCCTCCAAACAGCACCAAGTGTGAACAGAGTAGGTTGATCAACAGCGAGCCAGGTATGCGAGCAGTTCGCAGACCGGTTTTTAGCTGTGCGTTGTAGAATTATTCTAAACATCTGATTAATTGGGGATACTCGAAGTATTTGAAGCACTCAGTATCGTTACCAATATAATGTGACTGCAATCCGAAATATTTTTAAGTACGTCCCAAAGTACTCTAACTATTTAAGTGCATGAGTATCTGAGTAGTCCCTGTAATCAGGTAATCAAAGCTTATAACTACGTCAAGTGGGTATTTTGAACAAATTTCAAATATGTGAACCAACCTTCCCTTGTATATCAACTGATTGCATGTACTGGTTTTCAGGAATTAATTTGTAATTAGTTACTTTTTTAATATCTATATTCATAATAGAGATAACAGTATGTAAAAGCGTGCCGTTACGAACTATGACAGCGTAGCATAGAAAGTGCAAAGTTAACCTGCTTGACACAATTTTTATGAGCGTTTTTGTACATTGATAATATATAATTTTTTGGTCGACATATTTGTTAGCAAAATCCTGGTTATCGTCATACGTAGTTGTCTTAACAGTGACCTGCCAAAAAATGAAGCTTATTTACCGTAACAACCGTGTTTATTTACGAAGGACTAGCGGTACCTTTGTTGAATGCTTGGACCGTTTTGGAGTTGTGGCTACCAGAACCACAACGCAAATTGTGGGTCAAAGGAAGGGCAATCCGTTAAACGCCATTGACTGAAGACAGTAATCAAGTTACCATTCGTTAATGATAGTGGCATTCAAAAAGTATCTTCAATAACCATAAAACACATTGTGATAACTATGCATGCTTGTGAAAATAAAGATAAATACACAGTACGCACATATAAAGTGTACGTTATATATTATTGTTGATGTGTTGTGCCTCATGCATTGCACAAGTTTAGCGACTAAATTATTTCCCAAATCCGAACATGTCTCCTACTTGGCGTGACGAGGTCAACCCGTGTACCTGTGATAAGCAAAACTCTGATCTCTGCTAGCTGAAAAATGCATGAGTATTTTGCTGTAGTGAAACTTCAAATTTGACTGTTCTGTAGTTGAGCTATGGTTGCTTACCGGCAACCTGCCACAAATAGACTTAATTCCAGTTCGATGGTAAGATCTTCTGAGAAAATGTTGTTTAACATGTTAAGCAGAAGGTTGCCATTAAAAATGGTAGAGCCTATTCTTGCTAACATCCAGTTATAAAGACGCCTTGCTAGTCAAGAGTCTAGCCATTAGGTTTCTGTAATAAGGTAACTGCAAATGGTACATTTTTATTGAAATGTCAACCAGGACTACGCCAAACTTTCAATGGGAACTAAACTAATTTGCAACAGTCTGGGGGGATATATGTAACTCTACTTTTGTGTCTTTCTCTGCTGATGAACATTAATATAAACTGCATTCCAATCATCGGTTATCTGGATATTAAATTGTTGGAAAGCCAGATTAGTGTATTTTCATCTAGAATATCCTGTACATTAACGCTTTCTTACAGACTGGAATATGTATGTACCACCAACGCCGTCAGATGTCTTCTATAGTGAGACGATACCTAAAGACCCAAAGAAGCATGCTGAAGAGAAAAAGAAACGCCGCGACAGATATCATGCCACTAAAAAGTTAGCGAAAGATATGACAGACGAAGAACTTTTGAAGGCCAGACAGAAATGGAAGGAAACAGCTAGGAGAAGAAGGGAGGAAAAAAGGGCACGGGAAAGAGCATTTAAAGGCGAAGATGATCCGCTTTCATTGGATGGGACTATAAAACAGGAAAAGCAATAAGAAATGCAAAAGGTATGTGAGAAATAAAATAATAAATATATCAAAGTGATGAAGAAACATCGACCTTCCGAAATTCTGACTTTACTCGTCGTATAATTCATGTTAAAGTAAGCTAAACTTCTCAGTAACACGTACGCGAAAGTCTTAAGATAACGAATTACTATGCTTCGAAATCTACGATATCAGATCCGGCACTGCTTTAAGCAAATGATTAGGTGAAAGGATACGACATGCATCAGTATGCAACCCAAGCGCCGATCGCCGTATAGGTGAACCAAACTATTTGTAACATATATAAATCCTATTTGAAAAAAGCGAAAATGGCTCATTTATATGGCAGTAACAAACTTGTCGATTTGACGCTGTACCCTGTTCGTAGTCCATTTACGCCACAATACAACAAAGATACAGCGCGCCAAAGCGGCAGCCGCCTAAGCGTTGCAATAGCTATTGGTCATAAGGCCATAAAACTACGAACAAGTGCAGGATTCAACAGGGTAGAACTCAGGCTCGGGATATCGCCGTGTATCTAATCAATTCGTCATTTGTGTTGTAAAAATGGGGTCAAGTAGACTTAATCTATGAGCCCACGCTGAAAACTTAACTACACTAAACTTAGCTATATCTGGTAGATATGGAACCAACACCTGTTAGATACTCTGCTTGTACAGGGTGGGGCAAAAGTCACGAAGGGATTTGAAAAATTAATAACTTTTTTAAATTTATTTTGTTTTCATTTTTTCTTTCAGGACCGTGTAAAATAAATCCTGGAGATTAATTATGGAGCGTTACAACCTCAATCAACGAACCAAACTTATAGAATTTTATTTTGAATATCACCATTCAATAATTCAAACTCAACGAGCATATCGTCGTCATTTCAATTTGCGGAATTCGCCCTCTGAATCAATGATTCGACGCTTAGTGGCACGATTTCAGCAACAAGGCACAGTTATGGATCTCCCACGAAGCGGAAGGCCACGTTCCGCAAGAAATGAAGGGAACATTCAACGCGTTCAGGAGAGTGTTCAGGAGAATCCGGAAACCTCAACCCGAAGACGTTCTGCTGAGCTGCAGATGTCTCAAAGGTCTTTACGCAGAATATTAAGAGGAAATTTACATCTGTTTCCATATAAAGTGCAGCTAGTGCAAGAACTAAAACCAGCAGATTTTCAAGAACGACTAACTTATGCAGTTCGCTTGCAAAGAATGGCTCGAGAAGATAATGAATTTATTCATTCTCTGATCATGAGCGATGAAGCCCATTTTCATTTGAATGGCTTCGTAAATAAGCAGAACTGCAGAATATGGGGTACCGAGAACCCAAGGGTGGTTCATCAAAGGCAATTACATCCGCTTAAATGTACTGTATGGTGCGCAGTTACGTCTCAACGAATTATTGGACCATTCTTCTTCGAAGACCACGATGGGAATGCTGTATCTGTAGATGGCGACCGATATCGTGATATGATTCAAAATTTCTTAAGACCAGCTCTTGCTGACAATCAAACGATGACTTTCCAACAAGATGGAGCCACTGCGCATACTGCTCGAGCCACTATGCACCTTCTAAGGCAGATTTTTGGCGAACGTTTAATTTCGAGAAATTCAGGATTCAATTGGCCCGCCCGCTCGCCGGACTTAACAGCCCCTGATTATTTCCTTTGGGGATATCTGGAAGGAAAAGTGTATATTAATAAACCCACAACCCTGCAGCAACTAAAAGATAATATTCGAGCAGAAGTAAGTGCTTTGGGGCCAGATATTCTGACTCGGGTAATGGAAAATGCTCTTGCAAGAGCTGCACTTTGCGAGGCTGAAAATGGCGGTCATTTGCGTGATGTAATCTTTCACACTTAAATTGTAAACAAACTCCAAACATTGCATTTTAGTTTTGTGTTAGGGAAAAAAATTAAAATTAAAATTTAAAAAAGTTATTAATTTTTCAAATCCCTTCGCGACTTTTGCCCCACCCTGTATTATTATTAGTTTTCTTGAAAAGTATACGAAACAATAATTATTTCCAGGAAAAGGAAAATCACTTGTTATCTGTCACATTGGCAGTGAAGATGGCTTTGTGCCCACTGCCCTATGGGCATTTGAGTCAAAGAAAACGGCAGACTACCATGAAGAAATGGACGGAAATTCATTAGAACGATGGTTTGAACAAACGCTCCCAAAGCTTGACGACAATGCCGTCATTGTACTTGCTCGTGCTGTATGCCACACTAGAAAACTAAAGAAAATTCCCACTATGCCCACAAGAAAGGCAGAAATTCAAAAATGACTCCTATCAAAAGACATTAGTTTCAATGAAAATATGGTCAAAACAGAACGTATCCATTTAGTCTGGCAGCACAAATATAAATATAATCTTAATGTTATTGACGAATGGCTGAAAACCAAAATAATACCGTTTTAAGGCTACCTCCTTATCACTGCGAATTAAATCCCATTGAAATAATTTGGGCAAACTGTGTGACTTCAAACAATATAACATTCAAATATTCTGACGTGAAAAATTTGTTTTATGAGGCTGTCAATAGAGTGACGGCAAACCATCGGAAAGGTTGCATCCTTCACGGTCAAGAGGCAATCGAAACAAAGGTGTGGGATCTGGACAATATTCAAATTGAACCTGTAATAATTAATACTAACCATTCAAGTACTTCCAGAGAATAAAGAATTGTAAAAAGTATGTGCACTTCTTCTATAAAAATAATCATTTATTTTGTTAGATTATTCCAAGGCCATTGAGCAAAATACGGACCTGTACTATTTCGCTTATAGGCATGTTGTATTTTGTCTGGGCGTATATGGACTACGAATGGGGTATTGTCTTCAATTTGCTGCTGATGCTTTGCGAGTGTATTTAGATTGTTTGTAGGGACGTCGAGGTAGGCACAGGAGGTCACCTAGACAGTCCCAAATGTTGCAAATTGAGTAGCAAGTCAACTCAACAGTGAAAAACATAATGTATACGTATGTTGTGCGTATGAGGTTTTTTGACCTTTTATTATACATACTATACATAAAATGGTTCTTTTGAGCAGAATTATTTTAAAATAAAGGCGTTTTCTGCCGACATCTTATGAGTCCTGAATTTATACTAGAAATAAAACAATAGCTTCTTGTAGAATGGGGAACATCAAATACGAGGAAGTCAATGACGCCTGCAGAAAGACAACGCCAGTGGAGGGCTAAGCAGAAACAGGACCCGGAGAAATATGCTGAAATCAAAAGAAAACAAGCCAAGAGATATCAAGCCCGAAAACTTAACAAAACAAATGTCCAAAATACAACTTCAGCTTGCCATACGGGAATGGAGATAGAAGTCAAAAATAATAGGGGGTTAAAATGATTCGGATGAAACGTTAAATTAAAAAAGTAATGTTACCGATACAAAAGAATGAACTAAATAAATGTATGCTTGTTTGAGTTAAACATAATAGTTATGGCCAGCCACTTTAACGCATATGTATAACTTAACGTTAACTCTATGTGATATTTAAATAATAAGAAGGCAAAGGCTGTGTCAAATAAACTTTAGCGTGTACGTATGCGGAAGAGAAGGGCAATAGCTCTCCAGTGGTTGCTTCATTCTGTTGCTCTAACTGTACTCTTTCATGTCTATTCTGTTATTCTTACCGAGTTGAGAAAGTGATAAAAATGATTATGATCCTCCACTTTTATCGTTTTCATTTCGGTCAGGAAAAATTGCTTCACTCACTTTTACTGTTTCATTTGATTTTGTAGTTTACTTAAAGAACTACACTTAAAATATGATTTTATTTGTCAGTTATTCTGCCGCAATTAAAACAAATACATTGATCTTTTTCACATTTTCAAGGTGTTTTTATATTACAATATAGATCTCAGTCTTGGACTGAATAAAGCCAAATCAGGGATGAACTAGCCAGGGGCAGCGAGGATAACTGCAATATCATAAAGGAGTACCTTAACACGGCTTCAGAGATTCTTAAGTAGAGGAGCTTTGCGTCTCAATGATCATACTAGCCGCAAAGCAGCAAGCTGCTTTTGGGCTCCCTTGAGGTGAACATTTGTGTTTTGGGACACAATGCATTTGTATGTGCATTTTATTATATCGTACAACCTTGGTTTAAATTATCGAAATGATCGAATGAATGAATTGATCAAAGTAATGGATTTTTCACAACACTTTGAACTGTTAACACCAAATAGCAGCTGACTAACGAGTGACATTCAAAACGTCTCATATCGACAAGTGAAACACATCTCTGACGGATCTGTCCACACCGAATGCACTAGAATAATTTTCTAACAAACGTTTTTCGATGCCGACAACGTAAATCGTATATCAGACTTTGATACACGGATGTTACTTTCTGATCAGTTGTTCACACCAGTAGTATGACAGTGATAGCCCTACGGTACCCACGTGTATTCAGGCGTTAAGCCCGCATGGTGGCTTTAATATAAAACACCTAACGAAACCTAAATATGTTTAAAGCTAATATTGCTATGATTAAGCATATATGACCTAGATGCAGGATGAACCAAGTAAAGGCTGTAACTGACAGAGATGGACCATTGTCAAGGTTCCAGGTGTTTTTTGATACGTTCTTATATTAGTTTTCATATTCACTAATTCTAACCATTTACAAATTTCAGGCAATTTTTACGAATTTATAGATGGAATGTATTGGTGTGGAAGATGCAACTCGAGATATGTCCACAAAGCAAACCTCGTACGTCATCAAAACTATGAATGTGGCGTAGAAAGGAAATTCGTATGCAGGAATTGCAACTTCAAATTCAAGCAGAAGTCACATTTGCAGTATCATGAACGGTCAAGAAATTGTCTTAGGAAAAACGTTTCGAATCAGTCCCTATCTAATACGTATACTTATTAACAAAAAAGAAAATATATGTTCGTATTCAAGATACGTAAGTCAGAAGAGTAAATTTGTGTTTCCTACTTAATCGCTTATCGTATGAAGCTATTCAATATATGTGTAAATCTATTGTTTTCCTATATTTATATATAAATTCAATCTATCAGGTGTAGAAGAATTAGATCTCTCTTATTTATATTAATAAATATTTATATTGCCTTGCAGTTTTTTTAAGAAATATGCATAATTTAACCTTCAAACCAATAGTTCATGTGTGATGAATATCAAACATGGTTAACGGTTAAAGCTAACATTGATATGTTTAGGCTTTGATATGTTGTTCTATATGATGATGAGGTATGTACCTTCCGCGCCAGAAAACTTTAAGAAATTCCAATTCGTGTATGAATTTGATACTTTAAAAACTCCAACAAAGTTTTATCCTAAGCGTTCAACCTATACTTCTTTTCACGGTTTTTGGCGGTTACGTGACAATGCCATATGAAATGAGTAAACAGGTCGACGGTAACTATTAGTCGCTCTTGCACATACACACACATGAATTGTGTGATAGAAGGTTGTTATTTTCACTCATTTTATGAAAATACTTCTAATAAGGATTGTAGTTGTATCATTAGGCTTTACCATGTTTTATATTGAAGATTAATATTGGTAAACAAAACTCACACGCCCACAACAAGCAGGGGTTGACATACTGACAGTGAAAAGTATAAATGTGGAGAACTCTTATGTTGGCATCAGGATTTTCATGACGGTGAGGCGATGATGTAAAACCGAATCCTAAGCAAATACAAGAAATCACACAATCTTCCAATCCAAAGACAGTCAAGGAAATTAAGTCATTCCTAAGACCTTTACGTTATTACAGACGCTTAATCGAAAATTTTGCCAAACTAACAAAACCACTTACAAAATGTCGTAAGCAAGGAGTCAGAATTCATTAAAGCCTTTGAGACTTGCAAAAATATTCTAACCACTATGAACGTAGTTTACAGTACCCATATTTTGAAAAACCCTTTATTTTGGTTTCTGACGCCTCAAGTTAGCCATTAGATTATGTTCTTAGTCGAGGTAAAATATGACAAATTTGACCAATTGTCTAACTTTAAATCCAGCTGACTGTAAGTACTGCACAAAAGAAAAATAATTATTGGCAATAGTATACATATAGTGTGAAATACTTCAAACCATGTCTATGGAGACGCAATTTCACCATAGTAATCGATCACGTCCCTCGAATATTTAATTATCCTGAAAGAAGACAACCCCAAGCTCACAAACGTCCTTGCATAGAGACCGATTGCATATGTATCTGTGAGAGAGATTGACGTATGAAGGTAATTCCTGTAGTTTTGCTGAGACCCGATAATATATATACAGGGTGACTTCGAAGTTGAGTCATTTATTTTAACAGTGAGTAGATCTGATCAAAAGAAATGTTTTTTTCCTTTAAGATTTTTGTGGTAAAATTAAAGTAACAAAGTTATAGCCCTTTAGAAGTTTGAGTACCGCTCTGTCTCAATAATAATATTATGTGCTCGGATATAATCCGCCTTATCGGTTCATCGCATCGGAAACAAAAAAGCGAAAGAATTTGAAACGCTTATCACGATGTTTTATTCATTTATTTTATTCAGTTGTATTTAGTCAATGTGTTAGTCGGTAACGCGTGAGTGAATAGTGGTGTTTGTTGCGTGGCTCAAACGAAATAAAGGCTTATTGCTTTAGGTGGTACCAACGATGTAGCAGTAATTGTCGTCCCTTATTTAGTTTCATTTTTTCATATTGTGCGCATTCAGGTGTCAGGTTTCTAGTCACATTATTTAACATCATTACCAGAATACACTTTGTGAATCCGATCAAAAATGGAGACACCCAAAGGACAGTTCACAAGTGCAGAACTGACTTTTGATCTTTCTTGAATATTTTATCGATGTCATAAAATAGTACAAACTTTCAGGTTAAGTATCAGACTCTGCAAAAGTATTATCGTTGAAGCATTACCATCCAGGAGGCAAATAGCAATATTGTGCTTATAGGCTGGCCGGCAGAGTTATTACGTAAAAAACCTATATAATCTCAAAAAGACCGATAAAATGTCAACTTGTCTAAGTATTCTAGTGTGCAAATAGCTTTCTAGATCGACAGCTAGTTCCAAGTTGACGTCTTGTAGGAAAACTTACATAATGTCATAAAAAATCTACATAATGTCACTTTTCAAGTTACGTAATGCCCCTACCGTTCTTGGATTTCGAAATAAATTAATTATATGATAACTTCTCAAATGTTGTATCTCCGCAGTGGAACACCTTAAGTCATTTTCTTATAGGAAGTTGTGGCCTTATTCTGCGCGTTCTTTATGCATAAGAGAGATAGCTATGTTATGTATATTCGAGAATTTTTAAATTGTGTGGTAGATATTTTGCAGTGTTGTGCATAGAGATACATATGTGTACAAATACTCCAAATATGTCAGTGCTTCGGCTGAAATACAGTCTACGAAAACCAAAACGTCGCTGATTCTGGCCTAAAAATCAAGGCTAAAAATTGCTTCAAAATAAAGAAAATCTCAAGATACCCATCGGTGTCTTGTAAAGCAAGGCTTTAGCTTTAATTTAGATCCTCGGCGACCTCAAACATTATAATTTTTAACCCAGCCTTAATGCATTGAATATACCAATATACCATTAGTCGCTTAGAATTCGAAAATGGCCAGCTTTAGAAAAAATTTAATGGAAGCCTTTTTGTTCGGAACGGGCAAAAAATTATAATTCATTTGAAAAATTTGCTTAAATGAATTTGAACTGGGTTTCCATGCGGGTATATTCAATGCTTAAAAATTCGGTTAAATAGTTATTTACCTAACAAGTGCGGAAGGTGATACCTTTCCGCTCGCGACGGTAGTTGCACGAACAATGCGAATCGGAGTTCAGGCAAGCCGTCAAGGGCAGACAATACATTTTCCGCAAGTGTTGAGTATAAGATTTTTTCTAACAGCGTGCGGAAACTACTCACTTTCAACACGCATCTGGATGCAAAAAGAGGCAAAAGTTATGCGTGCGCAAAGGTGTTTCTCCACGCAGATCCGTGTTGAAAATGAGTACTTTCCGCACGCTGTCAGAAAAAAGTATAATTTTTGAGGTCGCCAATTAAAGTTAAAACCTTGCTCTACAAGAACTTGAAGGGTATGTTGAGATTAGGTTATTTTAAGGTGGTTTTAATCTTGTTTTTCGGGCCAAAACGGCGAACTTTTAGTTTTCGCAGACTGTACGATTTTGAAACGTACCAAAGAATAGTTGCATACGTTAACTTAGTTTTACGACTAAGTGGCCTTCTGCCAGACGATCCTAGCGCCATATATGGGACACTGGTAGAACCAACCGCTCTAACTCATTTCAAAGTATATTTCCAAATTCATTTTTGTGTTCTATCACTGTCACATATATGATGCTAGGATCTGTTAAATCGCTTTTTCGACGCCAGAATACAGTATTAGGTTGGATATCTTTAGGTATAGTGTGTTAAGCAATGTTATATATACCTCAATAAGTTCATAGTAGTTCTAGTTAAGCATCGAACCGTGTAACTACTGATCAAACGTAAATTCTTACAGGCTACTGCAGATTAAATATACATTTATTAAAATATAGAATTAGAATAAGAAAGGGACATTATCTGTTCTGTAACAGGTTGACTGTAAATGCATTGATCATTGAAATGTAATTAGCTAATTAGTGAAATAAAGTGAGTAATTACTTAAGACTGTCATGATGACTAACTTCAATGTAGGATGCTGGATAATCTGAGTATCGTGAACCGGTGATAGAGGGAATATACGTACGTATACGAGGTAGTGGCGATTAGAGAGAAAGATGTAAGGTAACTCACCTACTTACTATCTAATACTAAGCAGGCTTCCGTAAAAACGGCATATACTAAGGTG